GTGAAGAGAAGGCAAGTCACCTATATTTATATTGCGCCTTATACAATATTGATTGTGTCAAAGCAGCTTTACAGTGTCAAACAGGAAAATAGTTTGTCAATAATGCAAGAGGACAATCACAAAGAGTCATTTTCCAGCTAAAGTCAGTTCATTGATAATTCAGTGATGTCATCATCCACTTCAGCTCTCTTTCAATAGTGTCTGTGCAATCAGTCAAGCGTCCCCAACTAAGCAAGCCAAAGGCGACAGGTGCAAGGAACCAAAACTCAGTCGGTGACAGAAATGGAGAAAAACCTTGGGATAAACCAGGGTCAGTTCGGGAACCAGTTCTCCTCTGCCCACAACATAGCTATACTGATAAAAACACAAAGGAGCAATATCGTTGGAATCACTTTGAGAACAATATTTTTTAATGAACAATAAAAACATTGACAACCAATTAGAACTTAAAAAGCTCAGGCATTTAAACTGGCAGATGATAAACTCGCAGTGCTCGCGAATAATAAATAGAACGTTATTGTCCATTGATGTGGACGCTAATATAGTTATCATTATAGTGTGGATAGACCTTTGCCCTAATGTAATTTCTAAAAATGAAAGGTAAGTGGTTTATAAGAACCACCATATTGTATGTTTACAGCTTCATATAAGCTTAAAAGCTATTGAATTTCATTAGCGAAATGTCTGCTAAACTCCACTACGTTCGAGGATAGTACAGAGTAACCAAACCTCCTCGCCTCATTGTATAGAATGCAACAGGTCCTTGTTATATTTCATTCACTCTCTGTTACAACATGTTTCAGGAAATCAAGCCCATGCGTAAAGCTCTTGGCTCACATGAGAGCTGTTGATTGGGTGAAAGGGAATATGGGTCCTGTCAGACAAAAGCAATCAGGCAGGCAGCAAGGCGTTACAATGCATGGACCTGCAGTCCCGCTGTGGCTCTCACGGCTGAGCCACTGATCTTATTGTTGTGTTTGTATTGAAACGGTGAATGGGCCAGACCATGAGAACGTACATGGGCGCAGTTCAATGGGGAGGAGCGAGTGAATGGCCGCCTCTCCACTGACTTCAGAGCTTGTTCATAATTTATTTTCCTTTGTTATTCTCACCCTGTGTGGTTTTCAATGTGGCTCAAGTTTCAGAATGGTTCCTTGCAGCTACAGGATCAAATACAAACACTTGATAATGTTGTAGCTGTTATCTTGTTATATTGATCACTGTGAGCTTGCTGCTTTTAACTAGATCATTTAAAATGTTCCCGTTTAAATTACACTATTGAATCCCTGTAAATAAATGTAATGCTAGAGTCTATAACCTTTTACTTAAAGGGACAGTTCACCCAAAAATAAAGTATTTTATTTTTAAGTATTTTGGCACTAATAGCACAGAAATTACTTCAGTCAAAAGTTTTTCTTTGCTCTCCATTTGAAACAGAAGAGCTTGGGTGAATTCTGAAAAGCAAACTATCATGCTACCATTTCTGCCATCATTTCTGTCAGATGGTTTTAGTACCCTGCTAAAAAAAAAAAAAAAATCTAAAACCAGCCTAAGCTGGTTTTAGCTGGTCATCCAGTCTGGTCATAGCTGGTCAGCAGGCTGGTTTTAGAGGGGGTTTGACCACTTCTTTAGCTGGTCATGCTGGGAGACCAGCTGGAACAACCAGCTAAAACCAGCTTGACCAGCCTAGCCAGGCTGGGAGACCAGCTAAAACCAGCTAACCAGCTTGAACCAGCTAAGACCTTAGCTAAGCTTAGGCTGGTTTTAGCTGGGGGGTTTTTTCAGCGGTGTTCTAGCTTAGCATAGAACCATGGTTAATTTTCATAAAGGTTGAACTGGCAGAAATAGTAAGAGCAGTGTGCTGGTAGCTATTCCATTCAGTCCTTTTCTAGTTAGCACTATGCTAACAAGACTGCTAACTGAAGGTACATTCACTATTTTTTTAAATAATACTTTTTCAGGTAATCACAAATAACATGCAATTAAGTGCTCGAAAATATTTTACATTGGTTCACACTGAGTAAATTATTTCAGTGATAAGTGTTCTTTTTAAAAGTATGCTAAAGTATTTCTTTTTCACAATGGAAGAAATGCAAACACAACAATGTCAGTAACTCTATCAACTGTATTTTGGCAAAAATTGTGGTTACCATGGTCATTTTTGTTAGGGTAATCTAAAGAAACAAAATACACTTCATTGCTGTCAATACTCCCTGAGCGTGCTAAATTAGCTCAGAAAAGCTGCCCAGGGTGAGCTATAATTAGCATGTATGACTAGACGTGACACTCTGATACACTGTAAAAGCGTGTAGACGTTTGTATGGCCTAACAGGTGCACAGACCGTCTTGAAAGGACCAAAACCAGTGTGTAGACAGACAGACAAAAGCTAACAGAAAGATGAGCCAAGACTTTACTTCTGTTGCTAGTGAATAGGCAGGCAGTTTCCCTCAGCAAACCCATTCAGTGTAGGGTATCCTAGCTAAAGGTGTAAGGTGTTTCATGTCAAAGCCATTGTTGCTTGTATTGTAGCCTTTCTCCCAAGGGACAGGGCCCTCTTTAGGGAGGTTTCTTTCATCTTTTAAAAGCATTAACATGGTTGAGTTTGGCAGTAGACTGTTGGAACCAAACACAATGTTGGCTTAAAAGGAATGGAGGGATTGTGTGGTTAACTTGTTGACAGCTTAATAGACTTTCTTATCAGTCCTAGAACTAAACTGTGAGCAGTTACAAAATATCTCTTAAAGGTTAGTCAGTTCTCTTGGTGGCCATCGTGGTCACTACCCCAGGATAGCTGTTTTCTGTGCTTGGCAATTCAGCTCCTATTTACTTGGATGGCGAAAGACCGAAACCTCTGAAATGGTTGTTGACATTGTTCAAATCTGATCCAAAGGGTCATTCTCAAGAAATGTTTTTTTTTCTCCCATAAAAACTGATGGGAAGTATTTATTAACATCTTGACATTATTACTAATCATTAAAAATAGCTAATTGAATTGAATTTAATTTAATTAAAAATGAGAATAAACATGAAAAATAATAAATTCAAAAATAAAATAAAATAATTTAAAATGTAAACAAATTTTATTTAATTTTTTGTTTGTTTCGTTTTGACACCAGGGACAAATTCTCATAAAAATGATTTTCTAAAATGATTTTAATATATTGATCAGTCTAAAATCAATAAATTATGAAAAAAAAAATTGCAAATGACATAGAAGCAGTACACCTCAAGGAATCACTCAGAAATATTAGACTTTTTTCAGGCTGATCAAGGTAATTGGATGCACATTTTAGAGTAAACCAGCTCTATCAGAAAAAGACAAATTCTCTGTCTATGTTTTAATTCACTGCTTTCCTATGACGTTCTATCTGTCAGTTTTGTTCTATTTTTGTTTGTAAATCTGCAGTGATGAGACTGAGATGGCACAGATTGAGTTATAGACAGTTATGGATCAGAGGTCCGACCCACATGCAATAGGCATGCAGGCTAATTATGTACTAATTAGAGCATCGGCAGAAGGCTTTTAGAGTTTATTTACCTCTCCCACTGCATCTGCTTCTCTGTTTATTACTTTAATTTAGTCAGTTTTGGAGGATTAAGGGAATACAAAGTTCATTCAAAAGTAAATTCATGTTCCAAACCCATATGACTTTTAAGGAACACAAATGGACATATTTTGCACAAATATTACAGTATTTTGACAAGGATTGATTTGATGTATTGTTTCCTATATAGAATGTGATTGGAGGACTTTGTTTATAAAGGCAAAAAAATGACCAAAGTTGCTGATCAGCAGGAGACCAACGTTTTGAAATAGTGGGGTGATTATGAGGAAGAACTTTACGGATGAACTTTTACCGCATGACCTTAAAGTCCTGGGTGATGACCTTCTGACAATAAAAGAGACCTTTTTTTTAAAATAAAGTGAATGAAACCACCAGGCAAAAGACTGAACAAAGAGAATAATAGAGCTTGCCTTTCCGCTTAACTCCTCCTGAACTCATATTCTCTATTTTTTCCATATTGTTCTTACCATCTGATGCATTATTACTGTAATAAAATAATTATGCCATTTGATTTTTGCACTGTCATTGTCCTAACAGAATTCTGTGGCGGATTACAACCTAACTGCAGTGTCAAACCATTAATACTGGATCAAATCCAAAGACGCCATTCACAGGACTTTTTGACAGCAGGTCACAGCAGGTCATGGCATGATTTAGCTGCTGCAAGAGGAATTTTAAAGATTGATCTCTCTTTTTGAAACAACCATCCTGTTTTATAGCTGATTTGAGGAGATTTTAAACAATATTGCAAGCCAATTTTTGAAAAAAAAAGCCACATTTTAAATCCAAAGATGCATAAGGTTTTAGGTAGGTTAAAGAGGAGTTTTAAATTGGTCAGTTTTATCTTGGCTTAAAATCAGAAATTATATTACTATTGCAATGAATATACAGTGGCATTCCTGAGATACAAAATCTAGTATAATAATAATAATAATAATAATAATAATTCAACAAAAATTTTATGATGAAAGATGAATAAGAAATATTTAAGATTCAGCACCAGGTCACTAACTTAACTATTTTATAAAAATAAATGATTATATTTATATTTAATTTAATATATGTGCCATTTATAATAAGTATTTAATTATTTATTTAATTATTTGAGACAAAAGCAAAAGTAGGCATAACAAATTAAATTCTCAGCTTCTTGATTTTTTGATTTCATTGCAAAATGTAAATGATATTATCATCCAGCTCTATAATCACCCAGCTCCATTCTGCTAAATGCATTATAAGCTGCTTTGAAACAATGTGCATTATGAAAAGTGTTATACAAAATATTTGAAAAAATTCAAATTGTTTTACTGATAATATAATTTGTAATGAAAAAAAAATTTATTAGAAAAATGCAAAGTAGCCCATTTGACAATTTTTAGTAAACATATTTATTCGCTTTGATGGAATAAACTGATATTTGTTTTTCTTTTCAGCGGATGTATCAGAAGCATATGGATTCAGATCACAGAAAAAACTCTCAGAGAACATAGAGTGGTCTTATGCGGGTGAGTGTTGAATTCTAACTGTACTTACATTGTGTTTATTATCTCTGCATAGTGATCATAGCGATTAGGCTTCAGTCTGTGTAAAGGGCCTGTCAGAATTTCTAAAGATGCACATTTTGAACTGAAGCACTGGTGGCATCCTTTCCCCATGCCAGCTCAGGTTTAGGTTTTTTATCTTTGTCTAAGCATGCAGGGCTTAACACCACAGATTAAATTCATCCATATCTAACTGAGCTTTCAAGGTTAATGTGGCCTAAATTACAGGTCCTGTCTGATCTCACCCAGACAGTGCATGTCAAAGTTTAAAGGGTGTGTTTAGAGGCTTTCATGCAGTATGACTCCAAGTTGTGGCTCCGTTGTGTTGTTCATCTCTGCTGAAGCTGACTAATCCCAGTATTTCCATGGAAAGCCTGATTTAATTGGAATAGTAATATGACAGCTTACAGTATGTGTCTTTATAGTGTTTGAAAGTAAAATCTTAGAAGACGATTTATGAATTTTTAGACGCTTTAGGGGGCATATTGTACACTTTTTGTTGTAGTAATTTAGTTTTACATAATTTCCAGGACTTTCTCTGATCCTGTTTAGGCTGTTCTTGATGACACACCTTTAAGACTTCATGCAAATGACTCGTTGTGATTGCCTTTGAAATTAGGGATTAGGGAAAACGCCCAGGGCAAGTCTTTGTAAATCTGGAGGGTTGTAGTTCAGTGTGTTGAAGGTTGCGATGTCAATACAATGACCGTTTGTAAACGATTAGCATGTAGCATTTTAGCATTTTAGTTTTCATGCATTGAGGAAGGAGTTTTGGATTAGAGTAGCCTATATCTTTACAGCACATCAAAAATCCAGCTAATAGAGAATGCTCTCAGAACTTTGGCTAACGTTCCGGTAAGGTTCTCTCAAAGTTATGAACAAACATTCTTCCAGTAACGGTAATAGAATGTTGGTTTTTAATAACATTCCCAAAACATTAGCACAAAAATTCAATCATGGAACGTTTTTCTTAAAGGGGTGGTTCACTGTTTTTTTTCTAGGCTTGATTGTGTCTATGGGGTGCAGTCTAACATGTGTTAATGCTTCGTTTTAAAAAAAATGCATTATTTTTCACATAATTTACCTTTATTCCACACCGCTCTGTCCCTTCTCTGAGAAACGCGCTGATAATTTCCTGCTTTTATGAAGCCTCGCCCTCAGAAATAGGCGATGGGCTCTGATTGGTTAGCTAGCCCAGTGTGTTGTGATTGGCTAAACCGCCTCTACTGCGCATCTAAAAACGTCCCGCCCCTCACCTCAGCGACATGTGCTCCGGAGAGAGATGCAGAGCGTGTGCAGAGCAGGGGGACGCGAGGAACAGTATTAAGAACCGCTGCTTTAGAACATTGATTTTGAAACTTGTGAATCCATTAGAATCGTTAGAAGACAGAATCGCGATTCATATATGAATAGATTTTTACGTGCACCTCTAGTTTTCTCTTCCTCTTCTCTAAAGCAGCGCAGCATGGCCTCGCCCCCTTTGTTGCATGTTCCCAGGGGCGGGGTTTATCTGGGTTTGTAACTTTGCAGATATTGTTTATGCTCAAACAGCAACATTACACACTAACTAACGTTAAAAAAGGGAAATTGCAATCAACCACCCCTTTAAATATTTAGTTGGACGCCCAACTGACTTTAAAAATTTTTTTTACTACTTACTAGATTTAGATGGTTCAGATGGTTCACATTAAAAGTAACATTCCCATAATGTTTGCAAAGTGAAAAAATGTTCCATTAACATTTTCTATATTAAAAAAAAACTTAAAAAATAGACGTTTTGAACGTTCACAGAGCATTCAGAAATAACGTTTAATAACTTAAAGGCAGAGTAAGGGATTTCTGGTAGCCAATGTTGATATTTGAAATCACCAAAACAAACACGCCCCTACCCCAAAAGGGTCTTGCCCCTATTTTGATAGCTCCGCCCCACATATATGTACGCAACCCAGGCAACGATTAGTTCTGTGAAACAAAGCAAAACCACCTTATTGCTGATTGGCTACAAGTTTGTTTTGCGATTCGGCCCGAATCAGTTTTCTAAAGTGTTTTTGAAAAATCACTTACTCTGCCTTTAATGGGAATGTTGGCAAAACCTTCTTTGGGCATAATTTTATTAGCTGGGGAGCAGGAAAAATCTTGTTTTTTTATCATATGGCCCCTTGAAGTTTGAGAAGAGTTGAAGTATCAAATCAAACAACATTAGTGACACATTTTGTAGCTCTCATTTTTTTTTATCTCCTTTTCCATTTCTAGCACAATGGAGAATTTCCCTGTCTCACTTTGTTATTGAAAGTAGGCCAGATTTGATATTCTCCTTATTATTATGCAATTTTGATATTTAGCTTCTGATCTCTACGATTTACAGATCGTTCCTTTGGAAAATGATTCAAAAAACGATCTGAATCTTCAGCCTGGGGCTCAGAGTTTCAAAGGTGTTTAGTCTAGGAAAGACTTTCTCCATCTCCTCAAACCTCTTGTCTTTGACCCATCACAACAAACCAGATCTGGGTGTCATTGGAGGTTGGCACAAGAAAGGGGGCATTATAGTGTCCGGACTGCAGGCAGGAGGTCGGTCATGCAGATGGGACATCGTTCATCAGCTTTACCCAGAATACTGTGGCCCCTCCTCCTCTTTGACCCCTTTTTCATATCACTCATGTTGTCTAAATAATACTGAAACACGAATAATCAATCCCTGTAAGCTAATTCTGACATCATAAAGAGAACGCATATTTCTATGTAAGTGTGGATAACTGAAATGTACTTTAGTGGCCGAATCAGGTCGTTTTGCATGATATGGTTTCTCTTCTCATGTAGTTAATGGTCATTCTCAAGAAACAGTGCCAGCTGTGCTAGAAAATGTTTTTAATCATTTTATTTGAATTTTGCTTCTGAACCTCAGGCCCAAATGACCAGGCTTTAGACATTGTGGGACCACCATCTGACCACCAGATTTACAGAGTGCCAGTAGTTATTGTTAATAACCCTAAAGTGCAATATTATTTGAACCCTGTCACAGTAGGTTTGGAATTTATTTAATTATAATTTGAATTGACAACATAGTACATTTTTAGTACATTTAACTCTATAAAATAATTACAGTTTAAATATTAGCACAACATGCACTGTTCTATAGGCACTATATATTTATTATGCCAGACATCAAACCATTATCTTCGAAAGAGAGGAAATATCACAGCATAACACATTTGAATGTATATAACAGTTTTTCGTTTGATTCTGGTGGTGATGTAATGGTAACATGCAAACTGACTGATATTCTAAATGGCACCATTTCCTGAGAATGGCCCACATTTATTAGGTGGTTGTGGTGTGTATTTGGTTGAGTTCAATATGAGCTGTTCTCTACAGAACATACATGGTATTTGTTACTTGGCCTTTGCTGTGTCTGTAAAAGAGAAATGTTTATTTATGCCAAGTTTAGATTTTTGTACGTTGTTTTACAGAGAAATTTGGTTTTAAATCAGCTTCTGTTCTTTTTCTCCATATCCTTTCATTCCTTCAGATTACACAAAATCCTCTCAAAAAGAACAGAAGGACACAAATACAGACATATTCAAACGAAACATGACAGCTTTGAGCGTTTGTACTCTGTTCTCTCTATAGTCCTTCGCTGAGGAAGGAGAGAAGTGACAGTGCTAAGTAATGAAGAAGTGAAGACATTTTACTGGCATTTTCCTCTGATTTGCACTTGCTGCAGCTTGTCTGTCGTCCAGTTTTCCCTGTTCACTGAAGCCATGGAGGGACATGTCACAACCATAGACTGTATAAAAACATGGACGTAGTGTCCGTGACGTCACCCGTAGATTTTCGAAGAGCGATTTTGAAGCTCAAAATTGGGCGGAGGCGGCCGTCGCCATCTTGGCAGCGCGTCACCGCGCGATAATCGAAAATGGGCAAAGAGGCGGGAGCAGGTTGCTGAAGCCACGCCCACCTAGCTCGACGGTGGTGACAGCAGCGGCAATCCACCTGTCACTCAAGTGACCACGCCCTTAATTATGCAGGGGGAAAAAATCCTTTTTTGAACCAGGCTGTAAACATGTTTTTTTTCTGCTGTAAAGTTGGGCATTTTAACATGGGGAGTCTATGGGATTGACTCCCTTTTGCAGCCAGCCTCTAGCGGCCTGTGATGAATTACAGTTTAAGTCACTTCCTTGTTGGCTTCATGAGAGAGAGAGGTGGAGGTTGCCGCTTGGTCACAACCCATCAACACAAAGCCTATGAAGGTAAAACACTAGCAAAACTCGAGAGCTTGTTGATTTGAATGTGAGAACTTGTCATATTAATATTTGAATTTGTAAGTTGAAATTTACACTCACAGCTCTGATGTGAGAAGCTGAATCTTTCGATTTGCACACACAGACAATAATCAGAACAACCATATTTTGAATTTGAAGTTGCAGATTAATAGTTACAAATGTGTAAAATGACATTCACATCAACAAAATCACAGACAGACATATTTACTTTTGCACTTTACTTCAGTTTCACTGTACAACCACAAGTCAGCACTCTGATCTCTCAGTTCTGGCAGTACAACTTCAAATCCTAGCGCTTTGACTTTTGCTACTCCTTTCGCGATATTCCTGTAGCAAGGCTCATATATTAAATAGCAATATTTAATAGCTATATTTGCTCATATAGCAAAACTCATTATATTAAACAAGTTCTCACATTCACATTTTGCTACTGTTTTACCTTCATAAAGTCTATTATTATTTCATAGAATATTATGATAGTCACAAACAGATATTACATTTTTTTATGCGCTGTTATGTGGTTAAAGGGAAATGTTCACGAGAGGTTTGATACTAAAGATTTTCATGATTCTGGAAATCTGGAAATTTAGGCTAAAAAAATATGTTATTTGCCAGAACAATTGATTGATTGATTTATTTTTTCCCTTCCTTCTTGCAAATCATTTGAATTGTAAATCAACCATAAACAGTCTACATTTAGGCTATTGTTACTTGATGGAAAAATTGTGATTTTTATATATATTTTAATATTTTCTTAGAGAATATTTATTTATTTATTTCCTACACAACAGCTTAAATGTAAATCAGTTGTAACCAATTTACATTTAGGCTATTAAATTAAATAGTATATATTTATAGAAATTTTTAAAATTAATTTGTAATAATAAAAATAATAATATGGTTTTAAATGCTTAAAACAACCAATAAGCCACTTAAGACTGTGCATTAGGGTGATTTTACCACACCATCCCAACAGGGTTTTGGAAACTTCACTTTGTTTGTGCCTAACATTAGCTTTTATTTCTTCATTCATGTATTGTTTATGTTCTACTGTATTTGACTCAACTGTAGTGTATTCTACTGTACACCAGTGTTTATGACTCAGCTGGGGGTGTAATGCAGCTATTGATATGCTAATGGAAGTGACCTAGAACTGCTGGTGACCTGGTTCATGGGCTTTGTTTTTGTGCTGTAGGGACCTCCAGAGAGAGGACTCGGATTAACCCCCAAGAAAACCAGTACATATGTAATGATGCACCTGTGTGTCTGTGAATGCAGTTTATGTGTGTATATGTGTTTGTACTGGAGCACAGGAGATCATCCTCTGACATTTATGAATGATATTAAGAGGTTTATTTATTTATTCAATTAAACTCCATTTCCCACAGGAACTCTAAACCAAAATAACTGGGCAAAGAAATACCCATCATGCAACAATGCCAAACAATCACCAATAAACATTGAGGAGAGCCTGGCACAGGTCAAAATTCAATTCCAGAAGCTGAGATTAGAGGGATGGGCGGAAAAGACATCAGACTCCACTACAGTAAAGAATGATGGGAAAACGGGTGAGAACAATTGTATTTTTAATATCAACCCTTTGATAGATGTGCATTGTTTCAGAGGTGAAAAACCCCCTGAAAATTCAGACTTGATGTGAATAGACATTGACCGTTCATTTCTGTAATGTGTTGACTCCAGTGGCCATTGATGTGGGAGGAGATTTTTTTGTGAGTGGAGGGGGTCTCAGGTCCAAGTTTAAGGTGGGACGCATCACTTTCCACTGGGGCCTGTGCAATGCCTCCACTGATGGGTCGGAGCACGGCCTCAACGATGAAAAATTCCCCCTGGAGGTATGTCACATAATAAAATAATGTCAATTCTAATTTATTTATTTATATTTATTTGTCTGTTTTTATTTATTTATTATATAATTAATTATTTCATTTCTTTATTTAATATATTATTTATTTATTATTATTTTGATTTTGATTATTTATGAACTCACTGCCTAATAAGCAGGATAATGTACAGTCAGCTGGTCATTTTCTTGATCACGAAGTGGGGGGTTATTTTCCGACTGCACATTATCTTTTACTTTTCACTGGAAGTGTGACTGTATACAAATGATTAGATACTGTTTGTTTCTGGTGCAGATGCAGATATACTGTTATGAGGCAGATGCTTTCAGTGGCCTCGATGAGGCCCTCAGCGCAGCAGGAAAGATCACAGCGTTGGCCGTGCTGTTTAAGGTAAGTATGGAAGCTTTGTATATATACGTATATTTCAGTAATTTCTTTATTGTTTTGAATTAAGTTTATTATTCTTACCCTGTAAACAAAACGTGTCTAGTTAGCTAAGAAAACAAACTTAATTCCTCATTTTAATCACATCTTAGATATTATATAATTAATTATTTCATTTCTTTATTTAATATATTATTTCTTTATTATTATTTTTATTTTTATTATTTATGAACTCACTGCCTAATAAGCAGGATAATGTACAGTCAGCTGGTCATTTTCTTGATCACGAAGTGGGGGGTTATTTTCCGACTGCACATTATCTTTTACTTTTCACTGGAAGTGTGACTGTATACAAATGATTAGATACTGTTTGTTTCTGGTGCAGATGCAGATATACTGTTATGAGGCAGATGCTTTCAGTGGCCTCGATGAGGCCCTCAGCGCAGCAGGAAAGATCACAGCGTTGGCCGTGCTGTTTGAGGTAAGTGTGGCAGCTTTATATATATATATATATTTATATATATATATACAGAGCTGGGTAGTAACTGATTACATGTAATCTGGATGATGTAATCAGATTCCAAAAATTAAGTACTTGTAATTGGATTAAATTACATTTTAAAATACTCGTAATCAGACTACTGTTACTTATTTTTATTGATTACATGATTGCATATTTTCACACAATAGCAATAAATTGTTCAAAATGTATTGATTCTCCCTAATTCCTCTTTTTCATCTTTTAAATGTTCCTTTCTAAAATAGCCTACTGCTTACATACTGTACACTCAGAAAGTCTACCCGTTTTGTGGACATTCATACAGAGATCAGTCAATACAGTCAGGGGGCTACACAGCATTTGACCACTGGATTTACAAAATTCAGTTCAGGTTTAAGAAGTGTTTCAACACTGCATCAACTACTGATGAACACATTAATTAAAGGTTATTTAACCATGTATTACTGTGTCTTTGGAAGTCTTTTGTCTTTCAAACACATTAAAATGCACAAATTCATGTTATTTCTTATTTACATGTAATGCAGGCATTTCCAAACTTTTTTTTGTCAGCTAAACCTCTTTTACCTATAATATATTTACTTGAAGTACCCCCTGAGATTTTAAAATAAATATTTAAAAATTAAGTATCACATTTGCATGTTCACGGTTCTTTGAAGGTGGTTAATGGTCACATGACATGCAGATAAACAAATAAAATATTTCATTTTTTTAGTAAGCATTTTATTTTGATTGTTGTTTTATGATTTATTAAAATAATTTATGATTTATTAAAATTGATTTATTTGAATTTTACATTTTTATGATTTAATTAATTATTAACTTTTCAGTAAACTCACAAACCCCCTGCAGTTCCTTTATGAAGCCCAGTTAGAGAAACCTTGACGTAATGTTTAATTCACTTCATAATGTTAATAACAAAGAATGGAATATATTTTCTTCCTCTTTGTATTTTTATATCAATATGGTACAAGATTATCCTGTTCAAATCAATGTGATAAACGAGTTAGGTCAAAAGTAATCAAAAAGTAATCTGATTATATTATCTAAAATGTGTAATGTAATGAATTATTCAGTTAATAACTGAAATTTTTGTCATGTAATTTGGAATCAGTAATGGATTACAATTTGTAAGTAATCTACTCAGCAGTTATTTGTTTATTGTCTTGAATTAAGTGTATTATACCCTGTAAACAAAAACTGGCTAGTTAGCTAAGAGAAAGCTAAACTTAATTCATAATTTTAATAATGTCTTAGATATTTGTACTGGAAAACAAAACAAAATTTTTAAGGAAAATAATTTTTACATATGTGACCCTGGACCACAAAACCAGTCTTAAGTCACTGGGGTATATTTGTAGCTAGATTTTCAAATAGTTGTATCTCGGCCAAATATTGTCCTATCCTAACAAACCATACATCAATGGAAAGCTTATTTATTCAGCTTACAGATGATGTATACATCTCAATTTCCAAAAATGGACCCTTATGACTGGTTTTGTGGTCCAGGGTCACATATGTAAATTGTGGTGTTGCTGTTTCTTCATAACATACTTGCTTTATTGAACGTCCTCACTCCAGGACTTCAAAACCTCACCACACCCCCACCCAGCATTTAGCAGTGGTACAGAGCAGTTTCAGAAATCCTCATTTTCACACAGATGTTTTGATGGTAAAGGCTGACAGGACGTAACCATAATGTGTTGCTAAATCTTTGTAATATGTAGGCTTTTCCCTGAGGATATTTTGGTATACTTCATGTGCAATAACATGAAGTTGTGTGTATATTGTGTTGTTTTGTCAGTTTAGTGCTGCATGTTTTGAGAGTGTGGCTTGTATGTACATGTCATATTTTGAAAGCAGATAGATGCGGTTAAAATGTGAGTCATCAATTTTTATTTATTTTTTTTCGATAAAAACTCAATTTAGTCTAAAGAACAAAAGAAAAAAAAAACTTTGAAATGCTCAACAATGTGCAGTGTTCAGGTGTCCACATTCTTTTGGCCATGTAATGTATCATGTATTTTGTTATTATGCAGCAGCTGCTAAATATTTTTTTATGGTTCTCTCTGAAGATAAGTACTGAGGATAATGAAAACTACATGGCCATCATTGATGCAGTCAACAGTGTCAGCCGTTATGGTATGTGCAATCTTCATATTCTACATTTAAAAGTGTCATATTCTACACATTTGCAAAATATTATAGGAAAATCCTGTTTTCCATGAGGCCCCTTTAAGCTCTTCCATGTCCAAAGGCCCTTAAAGTGACAGTTCACCTAAAAAAGACAATTCTGTCAGAATTTAATCACCCTCAAATAGGCCTGGGCGATAAAACGGTATCGATATTTATCGACGGTACACCTTTTTCGATATCAATAGAAAAATTGTTCGATATAGCGCACGATATAGGCACGTGCTATGAGTGACGCAGACAGCACACACAAACATGAACACATGCTGAATTGAGTGCTGTGCCTGCCTGTGATGAGGAGATTGTGAATAAAGAATGAATATTAGTCGAATTTAAAATAAACATTTGCATTTGAATGTTAGGTGTGCGTCAGGGAGCGTCATCAGTGGCGCGCGAGATGCGGTGATGATGTAAGTGACGTTGTTGCATTTTAATGTTTTGTTAGTCCACTCTAGCCCACGAGACGTGCTGCTGCTGTGTTATGCATTCAAAATAATAGGAGAAGATCTTGAATGGGTTAAAACCGAAACCAAGCCATTCACACAGAACGCATATTCAGCGCATTTTTTAGACGGACAAATATGACTGCTGCACTCGCGTCTCACACAAGAGATGTAGCCATGCAAAGTTAAAACAGTTTAAACTTTTAGAAAACACGTCACGAATTTGTGGAGGTTTATTCCTTTTCACTGCGTCTCATATGTTTTTAAATGCAATCTGTGTGAATGGCGCTTCGGCTCTTTGGATTAAGCAATGCATAAATACATGATGCTGTTTTGTTCATAATTGTTTATGCAATTTACGAAATTATATTAGATTTTTATGAGTTAATTTAGACGTAATGCACGTTTTTATAGAGTTACTTCCTTGCGTTGACAATTTAAATGCGCTGCATTATTTTGCTCATTGCGCCCTCCTGTGGCCTCGGGAGACAATTAGACCTATACAATAAAGACCTATTTAATCTGCATATAAAACATTAGAAATTAGATATTTGTTTAATTTTTATTGTGTTTGATTGTTAAAACAAAAAATATTTGTTGTTTGTCTCAATAAATTGTGTTAATTATAAATAGTGGTTAAATTAAAAAAAAAAATTCTATTGCTTTTTGTTTTAAAAAAGGTAAAAAAAATTTCAATAATTATCGATACCGAACAATATGAAACATTATATCGTTGATCAATTTTTTAGCTATATCGCCCAGCCCTTCCCTCAAACCTGAGTGACTTTCTTCTGTGGAACTTAAAAGCAGAAATTCTGACGATGTTTGTCACTCTTTTCCATTAAAATTATAATAAATGGGGAAAAGCACCCATAACAAAAAGAACATAAAAGTTGTCCATACGATTTATGCTCTATATTCTTATGCACTTATATTCTTATGTCTGTATTTGTGTCCTTCTGAAGTAAGTCATGAGGTAGCTTTCTTTGACGAGCTGACTAAAATTCCTTTCTCCACGCAAGATAGAAAGTCACAGATAAAAATGACACAGTTTTCATTTTCATTTGAACTATTCCTGTTTTCTCTGGTCAGGAAAGAGCGGCCCTGTCTCTCCGTTCACCCTGCAAGGTCTCCTGCCCAAATCCACAGAGAAGTACTTCATCTATAACGGCTCTCTGACCACCCCTCCCTGCTCTGAGACCGTGGAGTGGATCGTCTTTAAAAACACGGTGACCATCTCAGATGTTCAGGTCAGTATAATGGACAGTTTTAGAGCAGTGACCTGCTAGCATATATTTCTGGAATTGCATGTGTTATATACAGATTTAAAGGGACCGTTTACCCCAAAATGAACAGTCTGTCATTATTTAAGGCTTTCAAGCTTCAAAAAGGGCACAAAAGCATCATTAAAGAGGTCCATACACCATATTCCAGGTCTTCTGAAGGCATCTTGACATATGTCCAAACTTTCTTTGTATTGACTACTTTTATGATACTTTTATTTTTACTAGTATTACAACTGCTTGGAAAAGAGTGGCCAGCACATTATTTAAAATTTCCATTTGATGTTTCACCGAAGAAAGAAAGCCATAAAGGTTTGGAACAGCATTTTTGGGTGAACTCTTAATTAAGGCTCTGACGACAAACAGTGGAGCCAGACTCTGTTATTGAGCTCCATGTGCCGACAGATTGAAAGATGAGGTCAAAATGAGACAAAAACACTGCTGATAACAATTGCTTAATATCAACAAACACATTTCACTCATAAATAATGAAAATAACCTTGTTTTGTCTGGTACAAGTTCAATGAATAATTCAAAACATAACACTGCTATTTCACCGCCAAAAGGAATTCTGCTGTTTTCCTACCTAAAAAACCCTGAGGCCATCTGGACTGATACTGTGACTGTGGTGTCTATTTGTCATTTGGCATCTGTTATGCAACACTGACTCTATGTGACACACACTCTCAGGAACTAAAAACAATTAGCTAGAAATGGCACACATGCCCAAACATGATCACACAAATATCAATCTTAGGTTGACGATAGATCAGTTTAGTTTACTGTGCATGTTTTTACATTGGATTTGACATTTGATTTCTTAGAAATCTGTTAAGTCATGTCCAATAATAAGTTAGCTGTGCTTTTGGCACTTAATAGTAAAGTTCACACAAAAAGGAAGCCGACTCCCTCCAAAAGAGGAAGACAACAACATTTTTGATTATTGTAATATTGGATGCCACGCATTCAAAAGCAAGCTGTCATTAAATGGAATTAGAGAGAGCGAGCGTAGAGTTACACATCACAAAAGACTGTGAATACTTAAACACGGCTTTTGTGTTGTGTGTCATTCATTCTGGGTCTGTTGCCCTTGAGTGACTTGCAAGTCGATACAAGCTACAGTTGAAACACAAGGTGAAAGCAGGAGTTTTACCGCAAGGTAACAAACCCACACCTGTTGACGTCACAGTGGGAATGACATAGACTCACACACATTAAAGAGCAGCTTTGATGTCTGAACACAATAGTGGACGTCTCGCCGCTGGACTACACTGTGTTTGTACTGTGTGTAGTTTTTGTGATTATATAGAGATTCAATAGACATGTTTTAGGAAGGTATGTTTAATCCTTATAGTATCATAGCAGTTTATCATCACCTGTAAGCTATCTACATAATCTTTGTCAACATATGCAAACTGAATCATCCACTCAACGATTCATTCAATAACACTGATTCATTCAGGAATGAACAAGTTTGTTTTCATGAGTGAGTAAGTGAATCATTCACTCAACCAATTCATTCAAAAACACAGATTCATTCAGGCAGACAAGTCTGTACTTATGAGAGAATCATTGAATAATTCACTCAGCCGATATATTAAAAAACATCTGCATCCCAATTTGCATACTATCCAACCTAAATGGTATTCAAGATTAGTAATCTTGAACATTATTTAGGGTGGATAGTATGCAAATTGGATTTATTCAGGAACAAACAACTCTGTCTTTATGAGTGAGTCACTGAATCATTCACTCAACCAGTTTGTTCAATAACATTGATTCATTTCAGCAATGGACAAGTCTGTCTCTTTATGAGTGAGTCATTAAAACATTCACTCAACCAATTTGTTCAAAAACACTGGTTCATTCAGAAACACAAATGTGTGTTGCCCGAAGACAAGTTTTTTTTTTTTTTAAGTTTAACTTTTTAAGAACGGTGTGTGCGAAACGTTAGTGCAAAAGTCAAACACATCTGTCTAGTGCAAGTTTACATAGAAAACACTTGAATTTCTTATTTGTTAAACTGTTATATAGAAGCAGTATCATAGTCGCAATCATACTCTTGGTCTGAATATCAACATGGTGGACATTCAGAACAACAACGCTTGTATGTGTGTGATATTGCCGTACTTAAGAGTCAGACTAATGAAGGTATTATGAGAAGTATTTATTTTGTATGATAATAATGCTAGCTGCTTTTCTGTTTTAGACCCCTTCAGAACACAGAAACAGTTTTGTTGGTTTAATCTGCATCACCGTATGTGTCCACAGCTGGAGATGTTCTGTGAGGTGATGACCATGCAGCAGGCTGGATATGTCATGTTAATGGACTACCTGCAGAATAACTACAGAGAGCAGCAGGAACAATTTATGGGACAAGTCTTCTCATCCTACACTGGCATCGAGGAGGTCCATACTCCTAGTATGTACTTCACAAACACACTTACACGCATAAACAAACTAGGGTAGCATGTATCTGGCAACGTTCATTCTTAAGGTCTTAAAGCAGTCAGGCAGTTTGAGGGTCATGGATCCAATTAGCCTCCAACATGATTCTAATCCCAAACAACTGCTTCTCAATTAAATAAGGTTTCTATTTTTTATGACAAAGCCCTCCAGACATTTTCCTACTTTCTATTTATAATTATAGACAGACATTTGGCCCATTTTTAGCCAAACGCAATGGTTTCATGACGCTTTATGGATGATTCCCACTCATTTCACGGGTGTTCTACTGTATATGAATCATTACTAATAAACTGATGTAGGATAAAAAAAAAAATAAAAAAAACAAAAGGCTGTAGTTAATTAATTATTGAATTTTTAAGGATAAATATATAAAACTGTCACCCAAAAGGTTGTTGAAGGCAAATGGATTTTTGGTGCTTCTTTAGAATTTGATTTCTAGATTAATATAATAATTTAATCATTATTTAAGATGCACAAGTTAAAAATGAACACCGTCTAAATGTCTAAATTATTCCAAATTAATATTTTACATTAATATATATATATATATACTTTTTTTGTTAATATTTGATAAATAATATTGGTCATCGTACCTTTTTAAAAATATAGGTGCACGGGACTGTAATGTGAAATTATGTCTAATGTGATTACAGATTACATTGTTGTTTAGTGTTTCACAAATCAATTACTCAGTCCGACCTTTTCATTTTAAAGAACCACTTGCAGATCCGAACTGTTTTGCTCTCAGACATTCCACTTTAGCAGATCGTTGGTGGAACATCGATGCCCCCATTTCAGATTTCTCCGCTACAGGGTGAACTGGCACGTTTGGCACGTGGGAGTTGTTTTTAAAGGGGCCATCGGCAATGGAAAATGTCCCACTTGTGTCCTTTCAAACACAGATACGCTCCAACCTGTGTCTAAGCTTAAATCAGCGCCTGGGGAATGTCATTTACAACCTTAATGCTGCATTATTACTTTGTAAAGACTGACTGATTACTTGTGACTTCATTTAAACCTTGGGAAACGTGAAATGTGAGGGTGGAAATGTGCTGAAAAAGATTTCAGGGCCAAGATTTAAGCTCATCAGTTTGGATTATTGATATTCTTTGTTGGATTTGCTGTTTCCTGTAAGTGTTTTACTCTCTCTCTCTCTCTCTATATATATATATATATATCATTCTGATGAGTGTTCACCACATACTGAGTGACTGGTGCAATCTCAGAATAACATAACAAGGGAATGCAATGCCAAATGTAGCCAGACAAACCAGATTTGCTTAACCTCTCCTTCACTGTGCTCACAGTATTAACAATGTTTACTCACCACTATTCGGTCTCTCTTGCTTTCTCTCTCTCTCTGGGTCACGTATCAAAACAGTTTTGAGTTGCTAGGAAACTGTCTCTTTCTGTTTGCCCCCTCACTTGCACAGGTTGAATTCAGTTCAAACTGTCTACACCTAATATACCAAAATTGATGTTAGTGTGAAACGAAAGCATACATGCAGAGTGTGTGTATGTTTTTTTTTTTTTATTAATTAGCTTTTACTTTTCTCTTTATTTATTATCATCATCATTGTGTTAATTGAAAGTGGTCTGTGTCACTTGCAATTTTAATAATTAGCAGTTTGATCATAAAAGGATGGAACCAATGCAAAACTCTACACTAAATGACGACAATAAATCAAAATAGTAACAATATCTTAAAAATCTCAAAAAAGGCTATTTTTTTTTTTAATGATTGTTGTTTTATTATAGGGTTAACAAAAAATGTTTTTAAGTTTAAGTACCTTTAAGTACTCTGATTAGAAATCACTTTTAAGTACCCTGATAGTAGACAGATGATCTGCGGGTGTTTTCTGCCCTCTTGTGTTAGAAGCTGATGGGCGGTGGTACACCAAAAACATCCCACATCAGTATGCTTTGTTACTGAGAAATCTGAGGGTGATGCAAATTACGTGGATTTAACTAAACCAATGTTAAACCAGGCTATAATCTGCCATAATCTGACCCAATACATTTAGAATGTTACAAAAGATTTCTATTTCAAATAAATGCTGTTCTTTTTAACTTTCTCTTCATTACAGAATCCTGAAAAAATTGTATCACAGTTTCAACAAAAATATTAAGCAGCACAATTGTTTTCAACATTGATAATAATAAGAAATGTTTCTTGCAAATCAGCATATATCATGATTTCTGAAGGATCACGTGACACTGAAGACTGGAGTAATGATGCTGAAAATTCAGCTTTGCATCACAGAAATAAATTACATTTGGAATTTTATTATTAAATATTAATAATATTCCAGTTTTATTATATTTTTGATCAAATAAATGCGGCTTTGGTGAGCACAAGAGACTTATCAAAAAATCTTGCCGAACCCAAAGTTTTGAACGGTAGTGAATGCAATAGAGAAACCTATGGATACCATGTTATCTTTTTATCTGGCATCATGTTTATTATTATTATTATTATTCTATTATTAGTATTATTTCCTGTTCATTGTTGTTTAATATAAGAAAAGTTCCAGAGTGACTAATTTTAATAGTATTTGTTTGTGTGTTTGCTATCATAGTTTGTAGTTCTGAACCAGAGAATGTGCAAGCCAACCCTAATAATCACACCAGTATGCTTGTGATCTGGGAGAGACCGCGGGCCGTTTATGACTCGAGCATAGAGAGATACTCAGTCACTTACCGGCCGGCCCAGGGCGATGATGAATCGGCCTTAGAGTACTTGACTGATGGAGACCAGGATGTGGTAATTCATTAACTTTTTTGTCATAAATAGCAGATATTAATGAACACATCTTGAAAATTAGGCCTACACTGTAAAGGTCACCTTTCCATGTTTTACCTTCTAGAAGTTGAATAACATCGCAGGTTCTGATAATCAATTGTGATTCATTTAGTTTGTTTTTGTTTTTTAACCACTAGGGGGCGATCATTCAGGACTTGATGGCCAACACTAGTTACATGGTGCAGGTAGTTGCTGTGTGCACCAACGGTCTGTATGGCAGAGTGAGTGACCAGCTGACAGTGGACATGCCCCTGGATGATCTTGGTAAGACCAATCGCGCCCGCCGCCCTCGCATCCGTGGAGAATGAGTTTACAACACTCATGCCCCACATAGTTTTATAGTTTTACTGCAAATGTTAGACAAAAACCAAATGCTTCAGACTGTAGACTGATCCTTTGCAAACCAGTTACCTTGTCCAGAAAATGGTGTGGTGTCCATTAAGCCTTATAAAGAAATGGACACAGTCCTTGAGTGTTTCACAGGTTTTAGACAGAAACATACTTTACAGTATGTGATTATGTAAACATAGATCCAAATGCTTAACCTATGGATTGTAAGAGCATGTGTCCTATTGAACATACAGTTTGTGCTAATGGACAGTTTTCTCCAGGTATTAAAGACTTTTCTGACACATTTTGGATTTCAGCAACACACAAACTTGCATTTGCATACCTAGAAACATTTATGTTCATGTATTTGAATTTGCATTTTCAGACTAAAGTTCGGTACCATAATGTATAGTGTTAAATCAGGCTGACACAAACTGATTGCACATTTGAAAACAACTTAATAAATTGCTGCCAATTTCAGTAGAATATTTTAACTTATAAAAAGTTGTAATTTATTCATATTTATTTAAACGTTTTCATTCATTTGAACTGTGAATGGAATTTAAAATTGCTTACAGCTTCTGGTTTTAGGTAGACTTTTTGTCTTTGTCAGTATTCTTATACATGTCGTCTTGAAGGATTTTCCCCTTATTCTCTGTCTGTCTATCTTATACTTTGTCGTCACTATTTGCATTTTGAATTTCCTTCTATTTACTGATTTTTTTCTGTCTCTCACAAATACTCATTTTGTGTTTTTTTTTGTGTTCTTTTATAATTCTTTGGAATGTTGGGTCTGTATTTTGCTTACTGATTTATAATAAACTTATCTGTCTCTCTGAGAATCCCTGTCATCATATTTCAGTGTCTATGGATATATGTGTTGTCATTTTCCAATCAAACAAGTCACAACATGTTTGAGAGTTAATTGGGTTTACATCAGTGAAGTGGGGTCGGTCTATCTGATAAAATCATACATCTTCTACCTTTTAATGTTTCCATGCTTCACAAACCGATCTTGTCCACATATCACGAAATCTCTGGGGTCTTTTCCACCATTTTATGTCACTGAGTTTGATCCCATGACAGGTAAGAGCCTGCAAGAAATTGAAAGCTCTCTCTATCTCTGTGTGCTGGGAGGCTTTTTAATGCATGAAGGTGTCCAAACTCGCCTGTCGTGTGATATAATGTATGTGATCAAAAACTGACCCTCTGACCCAAAGATTGCTCCTTTATGTTCTCTATGTATTGAAGAATGATCTAAACAAATCCTATTTGGTGGTGGCCTGGTTTACCTTTCCTTCCTTCTTAACCTCAGTACTCTCAACAGCAACAGATAATACCAAATGCCAAAAAAAAAGTCCCTTTAAGGCATGTGGTTTGTCATTGAATACACATTGAAAACCAATTTGTGTTTTCGAGCTTTGTTTCTCAAACATTAATTTTCTTTGTCCATTATGGATGAGATTATAAGCACTGATTGGTTTTCAAATGTATCTGAGGTGTGTGTTTGTGTACATGTTACATGAAACTGTTTTCAGAATTATTTCATTAAATAAAAAGACTGAAAATATTGTCACTATCGGATCTGTTCACCAATTATCTGTTCATTATATAATAGTTCAATATAATACCAGAATGGTTTAGTTTCAGTGTCATAGACATTGTTATAAAAAATGTAAAGAGCATACAGAACATACTTATCTGTAGCTGACATGTGAATCTTTTACTCATACAGTGTTTTAACTCTTTTATGTCTGGTTAATTTTCAGAAACAGACAATGACTCCGACTCGTTTGAATATGATGAAGAGGTAACTGTCAATGTTACTTTAGTGTATAGTTACTTAAGTGATTTTTTTCAACAACAAAACTAAACACCTCTTCTCTCTCTGTCCATCTCTTTCTTCTATTTCAGGAAGACCATCACATCAATCCCTTTTTGATCAGACCTGGCACAAATAAGCTTCCATATACCTTCCAAACCACCACAACCAGCCCAAGAGTTACTAAAACAGAGCGCCCGGTCCATCCAGTCATTAAGACGACACCAAGGACTCATGAAAGAAGACTCTCAGTAGAAGACTCCCAGAAGACTCATGATCATTATTTTCCAGCAGTATACACAGATAAACCTACTCTGAAATACACAGACAAACCTACCATCCCGGTAACCATAGCCACCAGTTTTGTTGTGGATATACATACCACTAGACCAGATGCTTCTAGCATTGTAGCAGGTGTATCCTCAGAGTCTGATGGCCAAAGCAATACCTTCACAGATTCTCCAACAAGCATCACCCTTGAAACAAGCGTCACCCCTGAAACAAGCGTCTCCCCTGAAACAAGCGTCTCCCCTGAAACAAGCGTCTCCCCTGAAACAAGCGTCTCCCCTGAAACAAGCGTCTCCCCTGAAACAAGCGTCTCCCCTGAAACAAGCGTCTCCCCTGAAACAAGCATCTCCCCTGAAACAAGCATCTCCCCTGAAACAAGCGTCACCCCTGAAACAAGCGTCTCCCTTGAAACAAGCATCACCCCTGAAACAAGCGTCTCCCCTGAAACAAGCGACTCCCCTGAAACAAGCGTCACCCCTGAAACAAGCGTCTCCCCTGAAACAAGCATCTCCCTTGAAACAAGCATCACCCCTGAAACAAGCAGAACCCTTGAAAAAAGCATAACCCTTAAAACATTTGTAACATCACCTTCGATATACATTTCGGAGGTTGAGGAAGTGACTCAACCTGTAACCGACTCACACAGCTATGGGGAGAGTTCAATGACTGTAGCAGCTATGGGGATCAGTGACTGTAGCACCATTGCCTGAAATCCCAATGGAATCAACTTCCTCTACCTTCCCCCCAGAGGTCCCTCTGTGGCCTACAACTGCTAGCTTGCCTTTTCCAACCACTGCCGCTTTCAGCACTGTTCTGTCGCAGACCACCCAGCCAGTGTTTAATGGTGAGAGTGCTTCGTATGCCCCCTCTGTATCTGACACTTCGTCCTATGTGCATGCAAATCCTGTGTCCCCCCATTCCTTAAGCAGTGTGTTGTCTGAGCCCATCCCTGACTGGGACATCCCATACACTGTTTCCAAGCTGGTGTATGGTGGTGCACAGTCTATCACCCCTTCCCCTTCCTACCCTACCCTATTCCTCACCGGCTCTGTGTCTTATTTAGACATGGAGCCTGTCTCTAGTGGTGGTTGTATTGATGATGATGGTGATGATGATATTTTGTCTGGGTCCATCTCGGCTGACCCCCAGTGTAGAAGTACTCTTCCCCTTCAAACATTACCAGAAGTGACTGCTTCTGTGGTCTCCATGCAGCCAAGCTCTGAACATGACCTCTCTGAGTCCCCCAGTATTGTCTCCATGCTGAGCTCTTTTGCACATCTCCAGCCTTCAGTTCCTGTCTCTAACGACTACTCTCTGATGACGACAACCCTTGACTCTGACTCTTCTCTCTCAGGTAGCGTTGGGGACTCTAGACTGCTGACGGAGTGGGTAGATTCTTCTATAGTAGCTCCTACCTTTAGTCAAGACAATGGTGCATCTACTGAAATCTCTCTGCATGCCTCTTCTAACTTCCTGCTGCCCTCCTCTACTTTGGGACTGTCCCCGTGTAGTGGTCTCTTGGGTGACCCATCTAGTCCTGTAGAACACCATTCGTTTCTGTCCACCTCCAGCGCCGGTACTCTTCTGTGCAGCAAAGCAGATTTGGACCTCCGCAACGAGGCTCTTTTGTCATCTCTTCCCATTTTCACCATGCCTTCTAGTGACCTCAGCAATTCTGTTTCAGCCACCAACAGCAGCGTTGCACAAAGTGCAACTGGACAGTCCCAGGGAGCACCTGCTCCCGTAAGGTCTTCAACTATTGCGCCAACTTCTACTGCAGAATTCATATTCAAACGTACTCCTGTGGTGCCCCCAACTATTGCGCCAACCTCTGCCCCAGAATCCATCTCTGTGATTGCTCCTGTGGTGCCCCCAACCGTTGCACTTTCCTCTGCTCCAGAGTCCAGTTCCATGCCTACACACTCTGCAGATGGACATCTGGAGAACAGTGCCTCGGACTGGGCTCTTGACTTAGATTTGGGCCAGAGCTCAGCATCAGGAGATGAAAGTATTGTCCCATATATCACCACTGCCACTCCTACAGAGGTACCTCCTGAAGAGAAGGATGATGGGAATGAGGAACACTCTTCCTCCTTCTACTTTGAAGGTGAGAATGGGAAAGATAGTGAATCTACCGAATTCAGAGTCACCCTGCGCCCTAGCCCGTCCTGGACTCTAAGAGGAAGTGGGGAAGAGGAGAGCGGATCAGGAGAAAACCTCACAGATAATGAGACATCTTCAGACTTCAGTATTCCAGAGCGCACTGAGAGGGATTCAGAGGAGGAACCAGTGGAAGGTAAAACTCTCTGTTGTTGACTTCCATTCCTGAAGGTGCTTCTTGATTTAGACATGCTCAGTGAAGCTTGATCAGTGAATCATCAGTGAAGAGTCTTAAAGTATCTGAAAGCTTTTGCTGCAAGGACAACTAATCCATCCTAAATTCTGAATGCCTTAACCAACCACAAATGTCACCTATACAACTAAAATCTCATCCAGAAAATGTTCTGTAGAAGGTAGTTCACTGGGAAGGTAAGAGCTCACTTACCTTGCTCACTGCATTGTCCTTAATTATTGTATACATCAAATCTTCTGACAAGTTAGGCTAAAATGTGCTACTAAAGAACCATCATCTTAATTAGAATTCAATCCCATCATCACAATATGTGTCTGATTCCTAGTCCCATGTGATACCTGTGTGTTCTGTTTTGTGTTGCATGTTCTTCATGTGATTATTTGCTCAAATGTGTATTAGCATGCTCACATCTGTTATCAGAAATATACCAACAGCATGTTTTCCATCTCAAGTCAAATCCAAGATACCTGGTTATATATTTAGCAATTACTATAGAGTGTATGGGCTCAATTTGTAGATTTATCCAGTGTTATATAGAATATCTGTATAGCAATTTAAACTGAATGGAGGCATAGCATCTGAGCTAAGATTTCGCTTAGCTATGTTAGCACTGAAAAAAAAAGCTATGGAGGCATAGCATTTGAGCTAAGATTTGTCTTCGCTATGTTAGCAGTTTGATTCTTCTTCCATGAGAGAACTTAGTCATGATAGAATGTCTGTATAGCAATTTAAACTGAATGGAGGCATAGCATCTGAGCTAAGATTTCGCTTAGCTATGTTAGCACTGAAAAAAAAAGCTATGGAGGCATAGCATTTAAGCTAAGATTTGTCTTCGCTATGTTAGCAGTTTGATTCTTCTTCCATGAGAGAACTTAGTCATTACACTGTTTGTCCAGCAGAGAGCAGCAAATCTCATATATATGGTCACTAGTAGGTGACAGCTGGCAGGGCAGCATTGTGTTTTGGCTGGGATGCCGAGGTCATCTCAGACAGTCCTAGGCCAAGTCTTAATCTCTCTAACGTGTCTGTCTGCAATGAATCATGACCTGTGAACTCTTTAGCTTCTTAGTGTCAGACCAACTCAAAACACATTTATGATGGAATAGATTAAGTGGTGCTATACCAATCCTTATGGATGACATACTGATTATAAGGTCTTTAAGAATCAAAGAAAAACTGAGTCAATATCCTGTGTGTCTGATAGCTTGAACTCAATATGTTAAAGAACAAATGGCGGTTTTTAGTCATTTTATGCAGATTTAGCACCTTTAACAAAAACTGCAATTTTTATTGTTGTTATTATCCACTGCATTAATTGTACTTTATTGCGTCTACATACTGTAGATATTCATTCATTGTTTTTACATTGTTTTATGCAATTTTTACTTTTTTTATAAATTCATTGATGTTATTTTATTTTATTATTATTTTTTCAGTTATTGCATGTCTTAAGGCCTACTGGTTTGCAAATGATGTCACTTTAGTACTATAGTAAGATCAACCTTGATCTGTGTTACAAGTTATGTGAAGTGTGATAGTTCCACTTGACTTGAAAAAAAAAACATTTTATAAGGTGAGTTTGTTTGCTGTGTTTTTATAGTGTATAATTATCTCTAATAGGATACTGCATTTCTCATCAAGAACATTGATTACTAATGATGCTCTGATCTGAGTAGGGTGTTTTTTAACCCATAGACACTGGTAACAGCAGTCATGAGTCGCGGGTGGGCCTGGCAAGCAGCATTGAGCGCCAGAAGAAGGCTGTGATTCCTCTGGCTGTGGTCTCCACCCTCACCTTCCTGGGTCTCATCGTTTTGATTGGCATTTTTATCTACTGGAGGTAAGTCCAATGGGTAACAGCATCTTATTTAATATAGAATTGTATATGTAATACAAATGTAAAAAACATTTCCTTTTTTAATTAACATATATGTAATTGTTTATATTTGTTTTATTATTTCTATATTGCATACACTTGCTGACCATTAAAAATAAATTAAATTACATAATATTTTTTTTGACAAATAAAGGCAGTTTATATGTTACCCAAGCAAGGTTATTTTATTTTATTTTATTATTATTATTATTTTTTTTTTACTGTGCATTTAACTGTTTTGGCATTGGTCATGCATAGTCGAACAGGATGCATGGAAAACAAAAATATACTTCCTCTGAGACAGCTGCTCATGATTTCCATCATATTGTTACTAATCCATAATCATAACAATAGTCGATAAGGGGGAGTGGTGTGGCCCCATGAGGAGCGCGTTGTCTGTCTGTGATGGGGGTCTAATCTTGGGCACAGACCCAATCTCACACCCGCCGGGTGAGGTACCACCTCAAAAGGAAGTAAGATAAACAAGCCATGATGTGGCGGTGGTCTCTCTCTGTGTGTGTGTGTGTGTGTGTGTGTGTGAAACCGCCCAGAATTCACACCAAAGCGGTAAAAATGGTCCTTCCACACCAGGATGGAAGTCTGAAATCCTGTTTACCATCAGATATTCCCAACCGTGAAATAAGCAACTTTGGCAATCCCATTAAGAAAATGTCTCAGAAGTGTAAACAGTTTAGCGGCACAAGATTGTACATTTCTCATTCCAACGTGCCTCTTGCCCCTTCACCATATTGCTCATGTTTGACTTTTTGTTGTTACACCGTGAAGATTGTGAGGAGATTAAATTGGTAATCTTGGAGCCGGTGATTAAATCTCCGATACGCTGATCTGTTGTTTGTGGGCCTACAGGGAACACATGCTGCCAGGCTGGAGAAAGAACCTCCACGTGATTATGTTCAACACGACCAAGTCATGTTCATGTCTTGTTAGTGCAGCCGTGGGTGGTTCAATCTCAGCAGAACATGGGCATGTATGACTGCTTGTCCATCTGTAGCTACATGGTGCTCATTTAGAGAGCAGACAGATGTGCACTTAATGGGACGTCTTGAAACGTTAGCGTTAAATCTGTGTCACTTTTCATTGTGGTCACTAATCCCTTCCAAGAAGTTACCGTTTTAGACAAAACAGTTAAGGAAGTCCTCTAGGGGATCCTGTTAAAACGTGTTGTGGATTAGATTGAATATGGTTTTTGAGTTTATTTTTTAAGCTTATAGTTCAATCTCAAGCGCATATGTGAATAAAACGACAACATACAGTGAGGGAAAACAATTATTTGATCCCCCGCTGATTTTGTACGTTTGCCCACTGACAAAGAAATGATCAGTCTATAATTTTAATGGTAGGTTTATTTTAACAGTGAGAGACAGAATAAAAACAAAAAAATCCAGAAAAATGCATTTCAAAAAAGTTATAAATTGATTTGCATTTTAATGAGTGAAATAAGTATTTGATCCCCTATCAATCAGCAAGATTTCTGTTCCCAGGTGTCTTTTATACAGGTAACAAACTGAGATTAGGAGCACTCTCTTAAAATCCTAATCTCAGATTTTTACCTGTATAAAAGACACCTGTCCACAGAAGCAATCAATCAACCAATCAGATTCCAAACTCTCCACCATGGCCAAGACCAAAGAGCTGTCCAAGGATGTCAGGGACAAGATTGTAGACCTCCACAAGGCTGGAATGGGCAACAAGACCATCACCAAGCAGCTTGGTGAGAAGGTGACAACAGTTGGTGCGATTATTCGCAAATGGAAGAAACACAAAATAACTGTCAATCTCCCTTGGTCTGGGGCTCCATGCAAGATCTCACCTCGTGGAGTTTCAATGATCACGATAACGGTGAGGATTCATCACAGAACTACACGGGAGGATCTTGTCAATGATCTCAAGGCAGCTGGGACCACAGTCACCAAGAAAACAATTGGTACCACACAACGCTGTGAAGGTCTGAAATTCTGCAGCGCCCGCAAGGTCCCCCTGCTCAAGAAAGCACATGTACAGGCCCCTCTGAAGTTTGCCAATGAACATCTGAATGATTCGGAGGAGAACTGGGTGAAAGTGTTGTAGTCAGATGAGACCAAAATCGAGTTCTTTGGCATCAACTCAACTCGCCGTGTTTGGAGGAGGAGGAATGTTGCCTATGACCCCAAGAACACCATCCCCACTGTCAAACATGGAGGTGGAAACATTATGCTTTGGGGGTGTTTTTCTGCTAAGGGGACAGGACAACTGCACCGCATCAAAGGGACGATGGACGGGGCCATGTACCTTCAAATCTTGGGTGAGAACCTCCTTCCCTCAGCCAGGGCATTGAAAATGGGTCGTGGATGGGTATTCCAGCATGACAATGACCCAAAACACACGGCCAAGGCAACAAACGAGTGGCTCAAGAAGAAGCACATTAGGCCTGGAGTGGCCTAGCCAGTCTCCAGACCTTAATCCCATAGAAAATCTGTGGAGGGAGCTGAAGGTTCGAGTTGCCAAACGTCAGCCTCGAAACCTTAATGACTTGGAGAGGATCTGCAAAGAGGGGTGGGACAAAATCCCTCCTGAGATGTGTGCAAACCTGGTGGCCAACTACAAGAAACGTCTGACCTCTGTGATTTGCCAACAAGGGGTTTTGCCACCAAGTACTAAGTCATGTTTTGCGAAGGGGTCAAATACTTATTTCACTCATTAAAATGCAAATCAATTTATAACTTTTTTGAAATGTGGTTTTCTGGAAATCCGAGTTATTCTGTCTCTCACTGTTCAAATAAACCTACCACTAAAATTATAGACTGATAATTTCTTTGTCAGTGGGCAAACATACAAAATCAGCAGGGGATCAAAAAAAAATTTCCCTCACTGTACAAATAATCAAAGCTTGCATGTTAGAACTATTCATTTTTTTATGTTTTTATTAACTTTGTGTGAATGTAATTCGTGTAGTACATCTGCCTTACATGCTATTCAGTCAACAGTACTTATGTTACATAAAGAGTAGAAAAAGTATTTAATACCGTTACAGGAAATGTTTTCAGACTGCTCATTTCTACATTGAAGACAGCACATCACCCAGAGTTATATCCTCCTCGCCAATGCTGAGCCCTACAGGTAACACACACACCTTTTCATAAACATAATAGAGAGTTTTCATTGATACTAATGATATTTGGGTCAATAATTGATGCGATTTAAAAAAAAATTTACTTAAAAAGAAAACGTTCAAAAGTAAAAGTGCAATTTGTATGAAAAATACATTAAATACAAAAAATATGTTAATACCTTTTACTTGATGGTTAAACCACATGACATATAATCATTATAATTGTGTTTCACTGCTGTTTTGGTCATCAGACATGTCTTTTACACTTCCAGGTGAACACGATCCCCAGTCAGTAAAGCAATTTGTGAAGCATGTGGCTGAGCTTCACAACACCAACTCATTTTCTAGAGAGTTTGAGGTTCGTATCCCATCATCCCCCTCTCTTTTGACACTCTTCAAGGGACAGCTGTCTCATGTGAGCTTCAGACTGCTCATTTCTACATTGAAGACAGCACATCACCCAGAGTTATATCCTCCTCGCCAATGCTGAGCCCTACAGGTAACACACACACCTTTTCATAAACATAATAGAGAGTTTTCATTGATACTAATGATATTTGGGTCAATAATTGATGCGATTTAAAAAAAAATTTACTTAAAAAGAAAACGTTCAAAAGTAAAAGTGCAATTTGTATACTAAATTACTTGAATACACCTCGGCTATGGTGACCATGTTTTCATTTTCTGAATTAAAATTCATTTTGATATTTGTTGACTCCGGAAATAGTCCACTGTTTTTGCATTCCTCACTGTTCTCTTCCGTAGTCTGGATTATTTTACTGTATAACAGAAGCCCTCATGCAGGCTGGCTGTCAAGAACTAATGTACCAGTTTCCACAACGAGCCTTGATGTAGAAGATCAACATGTCATTAAGGCATGTCTTATAAATGAATTGTTCGGTTCATTCAGGCACGTATATTCGCTCTCTACCCATTCATGCGTGAACGCAGGTTGTTGATAATAAATTTGAGTTATAATTAGGTCAGCAATGCACTCAGCTCTATGTTCCAGTCAGGTGCACAAAAAGACCCAGTTACAGCTTCATTAACATCAATCAGTGTCAGATTGTAGATTCTCACCATAACATTAAATTATTCACACTTCATTAGATCATGCACAAATCAAGCATGCTTTAATTGGACACAAACGAGACAGTAAACCTAATTTATTAGTTCTTGTCATAAGCGCTACCTATGAAAAAGTGATGCATATGTTTCAGAAGTTTCTGTTCGAGAGCTGTGTTGCTTTTTGTGTCATGTTCAGGCTGAATGAAAGTTTATTTTAGTGAAATGAGTTTTGTGGCATGCTAGTTACGTTAAACACCTGCACTGATACAAACGGTAGACTTTGAATGCATGTTCTGTTCAATCCATGACAGCAGGTCTTTGGATTCTGTCCATTTTAATTGATCATAGTTGATATTTGTGGCTAAGTTCATTCAGTTCAGTACAGCAGTGAAAAGGTTCCTGAAAATTTACTGGTATTCGTTTATTATTTTGACATTGTTGCTCTAACAGAAACGCATGGATCATTTACTGGATTAAACCAAAACCTCAGTTAAAAGTTCAACATCTCAAGTCATCAGATAATTATATATTTGTGTATATTTCTACTTTTGCTTTTATAAAGATTAAAGAAAGAAGATTAAAGTTTGCATGGAAGCCTGTTTCTGCCTTGTAACTTTTCGTAATTTGAACTTTATTTCTTGTCATTGCGGCTTTATTTCTCACAGTTGTGGCTTTACTTCACAATTACAATTTTATGTTTCATAGTTGCAATTATTTCTTATAATTGCAACTATATTTTGTAATTTTACATCTAAGAATTGCAATTATTTCTTGTGACTTCATATCCCACACTTGCAACTATATCTCACAATTGCAACTTTATGTCTGGTAATTGTTACTATATCTAAAAATTGTGACTTTATTGCTCACAATTTAGCGACTTTATTTAACAATTGCAGTTATTTCTTAGAATTGCGAATTTACAGCATATCTTAGAATTACAGCCTTATTAAACTTCATTTCTTCTACAGTAATTGTGGCTACATCTCACAATTACATCTTTTTTCACAATTGTGACTATTTCTTGTAATTGTGAATTTATTAGTGCTGTCAATCGAATAAAAAAATTAACTAATCACACATTTTCCTGAAATTATTCAAGATCAATCCCACCTAATATTAAGTTTTTAAATATACTTTTATATTGCGATGATTTCACATTCAATCTTCAAATGAATGTGCAAACAACATAAAGACAGTATATTTTTTAATATTTGTTGAATGGCATCTTTTTTTATGACTGAAGGCCAGTATCAATGATACCAATACTGATTTCTCTATCAAATTGCAATATTTAACCATTGACTATAGCCATTCAACATTACAGGTTCCCAATGATGGGAGCTCACAGAGAGCTATCAATTTGAACATTTATTAGACTTTTAAAAAAATACTTCTAATTTAAGTGAACTTAAAACAATCTTCACATAAACCCATTAGTTTTAAGGCAGCTTTAATCTCCTTTTTGGTAACTTCATGACTTAACTGACCACGACATTGCATGCACGTAGTTTATTTCGCTCTTTGATATAAAAGAATACAGGCTACAGCGCCGGCGCCTTTGTGCATGCAATTGAAGATCATGCACTGCGAGCACAGTACCATTTCCGCGCTCGCTTGACTCGCACCTGGCGCTGAAGTGAAGTGGAGCGCGCGTCTGAAAAGTCTCCGGAAATATACAGAAATTTAAACTGAAGTTATCAAATGCTAAATTCTAAATTAAATATAGATGAATCCTTAAAGCTATAAAAGTTATTTTTTCCTCTCCACTAGAATTGAAATCTCAAAATTCTGACTTTATTTTACAATTGCAGCTTTATCACAATTGTGACTTCATATCTCACAGCTGTGACTAGTTCTCATAATTGCAACTTTGTTGCACAATGTGACTTTATATTTCCCAATTGCAACTTTATTTCATTTTAATTTTGACTTTATTTCTCATAATTGTGACTTCCACAATCTTACTCGATATCTCACAATGTGACCTAATTTCTTGCTTTACTGACCAATCAGCATCCTGAAACTTATAGAGTAACACACTTAAAATGAGCAGAATCCAACCCAGCCTGTCAGTGCTTTTGCTTTGTGCTGTATTTCTGGTGCACAGTTTGTTACTGTATTTCATTGCTTTTTGCATTCTTACCCCCCCATTAGATACTGAAAGAGTATTTTGAGGTAAGCCACATCTCCCTTTAATTTGTTTGCTTTTGATAGCTTTAGCATGAATTTGTGACGCTCACTTGTCTGCACTTTGACTATGTCTTTAGTGTTGTCACTTTATGGCAGACTGTTGGAATAGTGGGTTGTGTTTTTTAGGAAGTTCAGACGTGCACCGTGGACCTCGGAACAACAACGGACTGTTCCAGCCATCCAGACAATAAGAACAAGAACCGATACGTCAACATTTTAGCCTGTGAGAACCACTGCCACAAATTAATACAAGCATTAAATGCACATTTCTGTGACTGATATAAAATGGTTACATCTTCAATTACATCCTTTAGATGACCACAGCAGAGTGCGACTCGCACCCCTAAATGACAAAGATGGGAGAAGCGGAGGGGACTATATAAATGCCAACTATGTGGATGTGAGAGACTTTAACTGAACTCAGAAACGTTGCCAGGCAAATCATGATGATTATATCATTATTTAATCAGTGAGGCATGAATACCTCAAAGGGTAACCATTTAACTAGCACAAGTGATAAAAAGCACTGCTGATTTGCTATTGATTCGATCATAGAAAGGTCAGGCATGGTGGCACTTTGAGTGTGAGAAAGTGTTTGGGGCCCCTATTGTAATATTGTGTCACCTGAGATGTTCTTTCAAAGTTTAAACTAAGAATACTTGTTCTTCCCTACTTCCTGTAGCTTTATTTGTTTCTTCTTTCTGTTTTACACAAGGGTTTTAACAAACAGAAAGCCTACATTGCAGCACAAGGGCCCTTAAAGTCCAGCACAGTGGATTTCTGGCGGATGGTGTGGGAGCAGAATGTGGGAGTGATTGTTATGATCACAAACATCATGGAGAAAGGAAGGGTGAGCCATTTTAGTGCAGGTTCTACCTAAATTCATTAATGTCATGTCTGACATTTTAAAAATAGTTCACCCAAAAAAGATTTCTCTTATAAGAAACATTTTCATATGGCTTCAGAAGACTTGAAATATAGCCCACAAGTCACATGGACAAGAATATATATATGTATATATATTTTTTTTTTCTTTTGGAAATGCAAAATTGTACTGGTTTAGAAGAGGATGAGAATGAGCAAATTATGACATTTTTATTTTGGGGTGACAAGACAATAACAAATTTGGGTTTATTCAGCCTGAACACAACAATGTTTATCCATTTCTCAGAGGAAGTGTGACCAGTACTGGCCTCTGGAGAACCAGGAAGACTATGGATGTTTTTTGGTTACTGTTAAAAGCACAAAAGTCCTCGCGCACTACACACAGAGAAGCTTCACCATCAGAAATACCAGCATAAAGAAGGTATCCAGTAGGCATAGACAATATATTGGAACAATAGTAGTTAAGGGCTGATATTTTAGGGTTTTTTGTATTGGTCGATGTTGGATATTTAATTGTGAATGTTTTTCCTCTATTTTTACTACCTTTGCCATAATCTAAAACTCACTTAAAGTGAATATTTAAAAACACTGAATTTATAAACACTATAAAAATGTAATCTTTAGCAAATCTCAAAATTACTTTTAATTTTTAATACTGTACATATGATGTGATGCCTAGATTCACTTTCGGCATTTTAAAATCGTAGATTAAATTTTAGTATTTATTTTTTCATTTATTTAGACACAATCATTCAGGTTTTTAATATTAGTAATATTAAATTGTTAATATTAATTGAATTAATTAAATGTTAACATTTTAACATGATGATACTTTCTTTTTTAAAACAATCAGGATTGCATTAACTTTTGCTTGTTTATAGATCACATGTGTACTTGATGATTTTTTTTAGGATTCTCAGAGAGTTCGTAGTAACGAGAGGACAGTAATACAGTACCACTACACACAGTGGCCAGACATGGGTGTACCGGAGTACGTCCTGCCTGTGCTTTCATTCATCTACAAGTCCTCTAGAGCTCGAACAGACCACATGGGACCAATGATTGTACACTGCAGGTGGGCTACAGGACTATCTTTAAACGTATAAAGTCATATTGCATATTTTACACTTCTGACGTGTGTTTGGGTTTGTGTGTGTTTAGTGCTGGAGTGGGCCGAACAGGGACCTACATAGTGTTGGACAGCATGTTAAAACAGATTAAAGGGCAGGGGACAGTCAACATTATGGGCTTCCTCAAACACATTCGTACACAACGGAACTATCTAGTTCAAACAGAGGTGAGTGAACAGCAATTCAAATCTCACGCTGGTGCACAGAACTTGCTCTATAAAGAAAAATTATACATTATTTTCTGTTTAATCAATCCTTAGTGTTGCTTAAAATTTAAACTCAAAGTTGGACTCAAGTTTCCTTCTCAACATCAGTTGTTCTGGTACCCTTACAGGAGCAATACATCTTTACCCATGATGCTCTAGTAGAGGCCATTTTGAGTCAAGAGACAGAGGTGCCATCAAGCCATATTCATCAGTATGTTAACAACCTCCTAACCCCAGGGGCCTCATGTAAGACACAGCTGGAAAAGCAGTTTAAAGTAAGTGTGCTATCAGTTCTTTAGTGATTTCTGAAGAGCACAGCTGGAAGTATTTGTATCAGCACAGTTGTAGTTGAATAATGTAACCTGATATACATGACAATGACCTTGTCATTGCAGTTGGTGTGCCAGTTGAATGCCAAACAGAATGATTACAGCAGTGCCCTGAATGACTGCAACAGAACAAAGAACAGGAGCTGCTCTCTGATTCCTGGTGTGTTTATTGTTATTTTTCATTATCTGTTCATTATTTTATGTTAGATGGATAGATGAGACTGATGTTGGACAGACAGACAGACATACAGACAGATAGGTAGATAGATGGATAGATAAAGACAGACAGACAGACAGACAGACAGACAGATAGGTAGATAGATTGATAGATAAAGACGGACAGACAGACAGATAGATAGATAGATAGATAAAGACGGACAGACAGACAAGACAGACAGATAGATAGATAGATACATAGATAGATAGATATCAGTGTCTATGACAGATATAGTCTGTCATTTCTTTAGATAGACAAGACTGATGTTGGACAGACGGACGGACAGATAGATAGATAGATAAATAGATAGACAAGACTGATGTTGGACGGATGGACGTACGGATAGATAGATGACAAACAGACAGACAGACAGATAGATAGATAAAGACGGACGGACAGACACAGATAGATGACAGACAGACAGACAGACAGGTAGATAGATAGATAGATAGACAAGACTGATGTTGGACGGACAGACAGACAGACAGATAGATAGACAAATAGACTGATGGATAGAGGAATGGATGGATGGACAGATATTCAGTCCTCTCATGTGATTGTTGTGTGTTTTGCAGTGGAGAAATCCAGAGTGTGTTTGTCCACATCAGCAGGAGAGACGTCTGACTACATCAATGCCTCATATGTCATGGTGAGACATTCAACGTTTCTCCAGTCAATCCTCTATTTATAACCTTATTTAGATTGATATTAAGACTCATTCATGCATTCATATCAGGGCTATCGGCAGAGCAAAGAGTTCATCATTACCCAGAATCCTTTGCCCAGCACAGTGAAGGACTTGTGGAGGATGGTGTGGGATCACAACGCCCAGGTTATTGTTTCATTGTCGGACACGAGTAGCACGGTCAGTACAGCTTTTAACTGCTTTATAGCGTCAGGCCTATTTCCTACATTTCCTGTCGATCTTCCAGTGCTGAATGAAACCGATTGTACTTTCATTAATCTCTCATTCACTCTTTCCTCCCTCTGTCATTTCTTTATTCCATTCCCAGACAGAAGACAGCGAGCCAATCATATTCTGGCCTGTGAGAGATCAGCCAATCAGCTACGAGACGTTCTCTGTATCGTTACGAGGGGAGGGCCACGTGTGCCTGTCCAATGAAGACATGTTGATAGTGCAGGATTACATTCTAGAGGCCACACAGGTAACATCATATCTGCTACAAAGCCAATCAGATTCAACAGCTAACATTAGCAACATTAAGAGGATCAGAGATTTTACCCATAATGCACTGAAAGGAAGGTATCATACTAAAGCTGAGATAATCGATTCACAGAGCTGTAAATGAGTGATTTCTTTGCGTCAGTTCTCCAAAATCATTCAAAAACACGAACACAGGCATCTGTTTTAAGGATTGCAGCTGGTGCCTGCCGTACGATTGTGGAAAATATTAGGAGGAGCAAATGGCTGCTGACGAAAGCGAGAGCAGAGTCTGTTAAAAATCACATCTGGTACTTTTCACACGCTTGCCATTAAACCATCTGTATCTGCTGAAACATATTGATCATAATCACACACACACACACACTTAAAAAAAGTTAACTTTTCCATCAAAGCAGATTTGATTAAATTTAGCTTTACATCACTTGCTCACCAATGAATCCTCTGCAGTGAATGGGTGCCATCAGAATGAGAGTCCAAACAGCTGATAAAAAAAATTACAGTAATCCACACCACTCCAAGCTGCTTGTTTGTAATAAACAAATCCATCAAGTTGTTTTAACTTTAAAAAGTCACTTCAAAATACCAGTCCATAATCCATATTAACGCTTCCTCCAGTGAAAAAGTCCATCAAATATAAAAGAGCTCATACATAAATACATACTATATTTAATGCTTACTAATATAAAAATGCATTAAATTGCAACTCTTTTTTGACATATAAAATATAAAATAAATATTACATTTTATATTATATGATATAATATATAATATTATGTATACATTGGAGATATATATATGACAACTTGCTTTTTTCCACTTGTAATTACACAATCAAACACACTCCTAAATACATCAATTATGATATTTACACTATATAAATCTTCAAATATAAAAGAGCTCATACATAAATACATACTATATTTAATGCTTACTCTTGTATGTTAAAAATTATGTAGGTGATTTAAATAAATAATTTTTTTTAGTATGTATGTGCTCTTTTATATTTTATGATATTTATTTTTGTAACTTCAGGGTTTTCCATGTGTCTGTAGACTATTGGCATTTAGACATTTTAAAAGAAATGAAGTGTTTTTTCCATCTATCTGGAGTTGGCAGCCGTTCTGATGAGGAAAAGTCAGTCATTAATAATTCTGCCCTGAGGTGGAATTAACTCAAATCCACAAGGGAAAATGTAATATTTTGAGCGGGATGCAGTGGTCAAACTACCAACATGTTCTTGTTTTTTTAATTTTGACATTTTTTTGGTCGGATAGGATCAGTATCAGTTCCTCTACAAAGCCATCCTGAGTTTGGTCAGCACCCAAGAAGACGAGCGAGCGTTTCAGTCTTCAGACAACAACGGCACGGTCCCAGGAGACGTCTCGAGTGCGGCCGAGAGTCTGGAATCTTTGGTGTAACCATAGTGACGAGCCGGCACAGGAAAAAGACTTGTTTTTCTATCAAAGAATGCTCTTGTTTTCCCCCAGTCCATCTCTGGACTGATAGCGCTCTGCTGGATGCAGCGCTGTCATTAAATGTGTGCCTTTGTACACTCCACGTTTTTATTCATTGTTTCTCTCTTAAATCGCCACCTTGTGCTAATGTCTTACGTACTAATGTCTTCTCATAGAGTCATATTTATTTGCTTAAAAGCTTGTTTAAAAGGGAAAACTTTTTAATAAGACTGTTTTTTATTAGTCTATTTTTTGAAGTAGAATTTCAGCCAGTTTTTTCATTCAAATATACAAAGAAAGTGGCAAAATCAGTCATGGATAAAGGGCAGGAAATAATATTCTAATGTGTAAATAATATTACAGCAACCACGTCGATGGACCAAATTTCTATTTATGTCTAGAATTTTATATTTGAGGCACTAGTGTTTTACAAGACATGGCTGCGTTTGAATAATTTAGTCACATTTGAAATGATGTTTTAATATTTCTGATGCCTCTCTGTTTTGTTACTGACGTAAGATGATGCATTACATACTGACACTGTTTAGCTGTACAAGATGTTTTTGTCTGTTCGTAGGATTAAACCAAACCAGAAAGCACGCAAGGAGACTGGTCTGTTTATGCTGGGATATTTCATGTGCTTAGACTTTTATAATTCTTGTTTTTTGACAATATATTTAAAAGGAATAGTTTGTTTAATAATGTTAATATACCACAAAATATTTTCCACATTAACCCTAATCCCTTCTTTAAAAGGAAAAAAATAAATCAGCAAGGCACTTACAATAATAAAAAAAAATGAATGAGGTCAATTTGCAAACGTTAAAATTGTCACTGTTTCAATAATGTAGACACAAAACAAACAATATGCATACTAACATGCTTCATATTAAAATCACTCACTGACCTTTTCTGTGTATTTAATATTTTTGTAAAAACTGTGATCATTTTTTTTTTCAGGATCCTTTAATGAATAAAAAGTTCAAAAGAACAGCATTTATTTGAAATTGAAATGTCTTTACTATCATTTTTGATCAATTTAATGCATTCATGCGGAATAAAAGTATTAATTTCTTTAAAATTCTGACCCTTAACCCTCAACTAATATATTTATTTAAATATAAGATTATATATATATATATAATTATACATTTTAAAAAATCTGACGCCCTCTATAGATAGAGAGCAAGAGAGAGTAACATAAATATGACATATTATATCATTTTTATTATGTACATTATATAATAAAAATGTACTATATATTATTATATACAATGTGCATAATATAAAATAAAAAATGATTTTATTGATACAAAAAAGATTACTTATGTAAATTAAAAATTAATGTAAGGGCATTATAAAATAAATAAAAACAAACATAAGCTACGAATTTCTGCTATTTAAACTTTCATTTTAGGTTCCTCACTGTATTTTTAAAAACAAGGGATGAGTCAAAATGTGATACTGAACTCTGGTTTTCATCTGCCCTCAGGACAGACTTGTGTTGATTACAGTCTCCAGACAGCAGCCGCTTGGCTCGTGTCAGCTGTTAATTCTGAACTTGCTTTTCTTGTTACCTCGGCATCCTGATTGCCAAACCACCAAAACCAAGACCAACCAACAGTCCTTCAGTTCTCCATGTGGCCCAGGAGGTCAGTAAAAGAGAACAAAGACAGGTTTCCTTAATGACGTTCACCAAATAGGGTTGTTTTTCAGTTAACTTCTGCTTCAGCCCTCCTCAAATTCATCTTGGCTTAAGCCATCGAGACGGTGCTTCTGGCAACGATCAGATCACTCCTTAAGCCACTGCATCTTCAGGAACTGATTATTATAAATCCACGGCTTAAGGGTTTGGTGACGAAGATGACAGCTACATGAGTTATGGAATAATCCCTTTGAAGAATCGCTTGTAATTATTCCTCAATTCTAATCCAGTCTTAAGAGCAAAAGGTCATTTACACAAAAATATGGGTCAAATGGCCAGACATGGTCTTGAGGGGCTACTGGTAGCTTCATTTGCGTTTTTAACTTCTAATAAGTACAGCCCCAATTATCCTGCGCTTGGTGGCCTACTTTATAGTGACCGCACTGATGGCCCCACACCACCAACAATGCAGACTGTTTATGACTGCCACAAGGCGGTCAACAAGGGCCAAAGAGGGGGATGAAAGGTAATTTTCTCAAATTTTTGTCTAAAGAATGACATTTATATTTTTATAAATGATATTTTAGATGCTTATTTGAAGAAAAACAAGGAATACAAAACAATGAAAGAAAACACAAAAGTTTGGATAAAAGCTAGTTTTAAATCTACTCTTTCTCCAGGTGCTCTTTGATGAAAAAGTAAAAAAAACTATTAATTAACAACAACAGTATTAATTTGAAATGGAAATAGTTAGATGTCTTTCTGTCAATTTTGATCAATTTAATGGATCCTTGGTAAATAAAAAGTATTAATTTCTAATATATATAAATATATGTACAGTGGGTACGGAAAGTATTCAGACCCCCTTAAATTTTTCACTCTTTGTTATATTGCAGCCATTTGCTAAAATCATTTAAGTTAATTTTTTTTCCTCATTAATGTACACA